CCCCAAAACCCCAAAACCCCAAAACCCCGTCAATACGAAATAATCTCTAATAGTAATAAAGAGAAATATATATTTAATCAGGGAAGAAATTCGATAAAAAGTGTATGATTAAATTATATTTTAAACTCATTTAACGCATCTCCTAAACTAAATTCAGACTATTGGTGTTCATTAAACACCATGATTAAATGTGCTTAATTTCCATACTTTAAGTAATTAAGACAATCTCAAAGTATCAATATCTCAATTCATTTCTTTTTCCCTTTCTTTTGGTAAATAAGCTCCTCAAGATCATCTAGAGTAATCTATTGCTTCTTGAATGTCTCCTCAAGCATATCTTTCGAGCTACCTTCTACCATTGACTCTCTTTGAATCTTTTTGAGAGCGATATCCAGGTCATTAGAGTCGAAGTAACCCTTTTTGTCGAGATCGAAGTAGTAGTACACCTCCTTTAGATTTTCATGATTATAGATAATTTCGACAGTGATCAATGATGAAATGAACTCATTCCAGTAAATCACATCATTTTTGTCAATGTCTATGGCATCAACTATCTTATTAAGAAGACCCTAGTGAAGCACTCTAGATTTAAGGTTCTAGATCAATTCCTACTTAGTGATGAAGCCATGCTTATTTTTGTCAATAGTAGAGAAGAGATTATGATAGGATTGGATTTATTCGTAGAGATTGCATCTGTAAGCAATCAAATAGTAAATAATCTGTTTAAACTTATTAAGAGAAGAGAATTCTCTCAGCCTTAAAAGTGCTTTTGTCGAGAATTCGTTTTCAGTTTTACTCTCCATAAAAAACCACTTATGCTGAAGGCACTCAGATGCTGTGGGTCTGGTATACTCTGGACTCAGCATTTATTTTATCAAATCTCTTGCCTCATTAGATATGAAATCCCAGGCCTCATCTTTGAAGTCATAGTTGTACTTCATAATCTCTCTTTTTATTTCAATTTCATCATCACCATAAAAGGGAGGGAAACCTGCAAGCATGATGTAAAGCATGACTCCAGCAGACCAGATATCGCATTTTTCAGTGTAAAGTTTCTCATGAACTTCTGGGGCAGTGTACCAAGCTGTACCCACTGGGGTTTCCATTCTTTTCATTAGTTTTTTTTATGACATGGTGTAAAGTGTGAAATTCTGAGACAGACCGAAGTCAATCATTTTCAAAAGGTCTGAGTCTTTGCTTACAAAGACGAAATTTTCAGGCTTAATATCTCTATGACTCACATTGTGCTTATGAATGTAGTTGATTCCTTCTAGAATTTATGAGAAAATCTGTCTACAGTAATCCTCATCGAATGAAGTCCTAGCTTTGATTCTTTCGAACAATGTTTCTCCTTTAAGATATTCTTACACAAGATATATTCTCTTGGTGTCCTCAAACTTATCAATCAATCTCACCAAATTAGGATGATCAAGTTTAAGCAGAGCTTCTATTTCTCTCTTTTTCTTCATTAGATCTATAAAGTCACCTTTTTTAATCTATTTCACTGCTCTTTTTACATGAGAATGATAATGAGTCACCTTGTAAACTTTCCCAAAAGCACCCTCGCCTATCTTTTCACCTTTATAGTATTCATCTTCAATTCTTTTAGAACCCATATCCAGCGCCATGTTTACTTTGTTTAATCTAATTTTTTCAATGGCTGCCTTATACTATTTGGGATCAATATTATCATTTTATTTATCACTCCCTCCTAGTTCCCCTATGAGCTTCGATTTCACTTCTTCATGGAAATCAGCAAAATCTTCACTGTCATCACTGTCAGATGACCAAGTCTGAGAAGGCATCTAATCTTTTAATTCTTCGCTATTTGACGAAGATCCAGATTTACTTGTAGGCTCAACCATTTATGATTGGATATTTATATTGATTTGTATTAAACCCTTTAAAATGTTCCTTGAATTCTACAATAATTGTTGTCAATCAAAGTATTCTTAATTCACTAACTTGATTTCTCAAAAGATTTGACTCCTGGGGTTTTGGGGTTTTGGGGTTTTGGGG